GTCCATGTTCACTGACTCCAGATCCGATGAGTGGGCAGACCAACATCGCGCAGATAATGGGTGAAAGTTCCGCGCCACTCTTAGCGCCACGCACAAATCGAACCGGGCAAGGAAAATGGAGAGGAGAGCGAAAAAGTGTTGTGTCGCGACGGTGATGTCCTAACCGAGTCTTTGTAAATTATTCACTGTCTTTGGAGGGTGAAAGGGTTGGATATGGATGATAGTATTCAGTTCTAACGAGCCTTCTTGGAGTACGTGAAATGTAGATGACCACCACAGTGAAATCTCGCTAAGTCGGACAAGCGACCGAGAAAAATTTCGACTTAAGCAGCGTCTTGTCCATTTTAACGCTTAGCACAAAAGAAATTCGAAAATTCGAATTAAGTGATTTCAAGTAATTTAAAAGTGATATTTTTCAGTCACTTTTCCCAATTTTTCAATGATTGATAAATTTTTAATTTTTTAAGAGAATTTTTAGGTGTCCATTTTCTCTCAAAAAATCATCGATTCAATCATCAAAAGTTACATATCTTGAACCTCTTACTTCTGTACATCCCTCAAAAGTGCATGCGCGTCATCAAAATATCTTTATGAAACGTTCCTCTCTTTCACAGTCGCTCCTTTTTCTTCTCTATTCTTATACAAAATCGAATTTTCGTCAAGTTCGATCAAAAAAAAAAAAAAAAAAAAAAAAAAAAAAAAAAAAAAAAATTCCGATTTAAGCAACTTTCGTTTTGCGACAAGAATCACGAATTTGTCTAAATCATAGGTTTTTTTTCAATTGCCCATTTTGGCGGTGTCTCAGAGCCTAAACAATTGTCAACTCAAACAGAATTTCGTCTTAATCGTAGTTTAGCCCAGCGAGATTTTTCTGCAACTATTTTACTTGCTTCTTGAACCTAGAGTTTTGCAGACAGCGTGCGGCCGTGCCACATGTCACCAAGGCGATATCGAATCCCTATCTCTTTTGAATGATTGGAGATAAATGCCTTTTAAAAGTGAAATAGTTAAACACAGTGAATCTTTTTAGTTCTAGAAAAAACTTCTGGCGTGTTTGTTTAAATTAAAAGGGACACTACAGCTATTTTACGTCTCATTTAAAACCGGGGTCTTGTGACATTTCCAATCAAATTTACTGAAAGTTCTGAAACTCAAAATTTAATGATTGCCGCAATTACACGGACTTTCAAAAATTGATTGACAGTTGGGCGACTTAAGAAGCTGAAAAATTAGGAACTTAAAAACTGGCTAAATGTGCATTTTTGAAACGATATTTTAAAGGCATAAGAAAAGCTCACAGTATGCTTGAGTGAACAGTAGTTGAGAAAACCCTTTGGATTAGACCATGTTTTCCCGAGGAACGTTTTTGTAACTTTCCCTTGAACCGGTCATATTTTTTTCCTTTTCCTGTAGATTTAACCGACAGGTGCGGAGAACAGTCTACTTTCTACGGTCAATTTCGGCTGAAGAATTAAAAGGAAGAAAAACCGAGAAAGAGGAGGTAAAAGGATTTCGCACGTTGCTACCTCGCCTTCAATATTTGAGATAGGCCAAAAAGCATCCTCCGTGCGGTGATAGTTATCTACTCGAGGATTTGAAGCTCGTGTTGTCTAAATCTTGCTTCACAGTGAGTTTAGCTATAATTAATTCTGACGATTTTGATGTCAGTTCTTTGTTTAGCGCTCTTCCTGTTAACTCCATTCAAAGCTCTCGATAACATAACATTTATCCGTGATTCCTCTAGGGAACTAATGGATCCCATGCGTGCGCGCTAAAAACCCATATGCTGGATTAAATATACCTTTTGGCTCTTTTCTTGGAAAAACCTCAGTATGGAGGAGGGGTGCAGTCCAAGAGAAAATTTTAGAAGTTTAGATTCACAATCGTGGTTAAAATATCCGTTCAACTCGTTTCAAGATTGAATCGTGCGGTTCGAAAATACGGGCTTTTTGGGCGCTCTAACTCGCTCTAATTTCGCTCAAAATATGTTGTCTGTACGAGCAGGACATTTTCCTTACAATGATTCTTTTAAGCCAAACCATTTTTGCTGAACTAAAATACATTTTCTACAAATGCGTAAAAAAATGGTTTAATCCATTTTTTGCTCAGAATTTGGGCGCTGAAAATTATGCATACCTTCGCCGATCCATCTTTTACGTTTCTGCTCCTCCGATAATTTTCTGTGGCTCAGAGAAAACCATGAATTAAACACGGAGATGACAACGCGGCTCCTAAGTATCTCATTCCTGGTGGCCAGTCAAGAGCAAGCGGTCAGTTACTCTCGAGATATTCCGTGTAGTTTTCGCTTTTGTTACGGCTTGCACAGGACGTAAAAAACTACAGAGAGGCGTCGCGAGCGCGCGCCAAACTTTCGGAACAGGGTCAGCATCAGTAGCGTGGCATGCTTTGCGATATATCGATTGATCAACCATTTAAATCTATGGGAAAGGATCGATAAACGGGTGCTCGTAACGAACACCTTAATAATCGATTCTTCACCACAGCTTCAAATGGAGAAATATCGTTAGGTAATCGATTATTCACGCCTCGTCACCGCAGCACCCTGCCATGCAACGTAAAATGTCTTACAAACATAGGCATTGCGAACTTCCTACTAATACACAATCAAGTTTCTTGTTTTTCTTCCTAGTTTTTCAAGAATTTCACTTACAATCTGATGAAGCAAGTCTAAATATCTTTAAGAAAACATTCATAAAAATTTTATTACAAACGAATATTTTATCAGCGGAAATTTGGTAACCCACGCGCGGATTCCCATGCGGCGCACATCCTTTGCACGGCATTATACTGTCAAGCGCAGTTAGACCACAGTATGAACCTTTAGACGTTGCAAAATTTCCTTCGATGAAAAACGAATTCATTGGGGAAGTTGCAAATATTTTTCTTCCAATTTTTCACAAAATTTCGTTCGCAATTTTATCTAAAATAATATACGAAAATTTCAAAAAGAAATCGTGTAACTTTCCTCAAAAACACATTTTTTACCCGGGGAGAGTTGGCAACTCTGGATTGTTTGTACGGCGTTCCTCCTCAGCACGGTAGTACACAAATTGACCTCCGTACATCATGTACGATCAGGGTGTAAATGAATGAGAACCTGAATCTTTTTGAAACTACTTCATTGCCCGCAGGTAGATACTTTAATTAACTGACTAATCTTACGACCAGAGCGATCTAAACTAGTAAAGCACTTAAGAATACTTTCGAGGATTCATAGTGTAGAAAAAAGCAACAAGACTAGCAACTTCGCATGGTTTCTCTAGCTTATTTGGATCAAATTCAGCTATCCAAGAAACGCAGGTCTCCAGTGAATTGAGATTGCATGGTAATATTATTGTTACTTCATCTGAGTGTTGCGAATGTTGCCCGCTTACTAATTGAAGGAGCTCCTTCTTTCGGGATTCACTGCTGAAAAATCGATGTATGAATGATGCAAATTTTCCCTGCAATACAAACTGTCTACCTTCATATTATATGAAAATTGTTTTACTGATCAATATAAAGCCGATATTTATTGATCAAATGGTATGAAAATACTGCAATAGAGGTAGACATTTTCCCCTTGAAGACATCGAGAGACGACTTTGCACCGTTTCAAGCTTGTCCGTGCATTCTCTCTGGTTCTGATTCTTTTCAACTGCTTGTCGAACAGTGACGTCATCAATCGGAGGGCATGTCTTCATTTTGTTGATGAAATACAACTACTGTAAAATATACGGCTACAAGTATCCGGTACACACTCAAGTACACTAAATTATTGCGGCTCGATGTAATGAGTTCGCTCTGCTTGGATCAAAAGCAGAGGTGTGTGAGTGCCACTGGATGATTTCTGAAAGCTGACTGCTTCAACACTTTAATTATTTCTACATCAAGCCTGACGTTGCAAGGAAAGCTCAGCCTCAGCCCGTCATAGAATCAGCGGCATTTAGAAACAGACCCTTTCTGTTAAACCGAGACTTCGTAGTTATAATTATGAGTGTCTTGATATCAATTAGAAACATAGGCGTCGCCACGATGTTGATAGATAAATGCCTTCTAATTCGTCACTCCTTTGACGTAACGGCACATCTCGATTTCTGTATGAGCCTCGAAAAGCATAGAATTATATGGAGAACAGGGTTCATTTGAAAATCAAGATACGTCCTTACGCCAGAGGGGCGACGAATTGACGGATAGATGACAAATGATCAACGAGATCAAAAATTATACAGCTGCGCGATCCTCTCAATCTGAAATTTTCGTAGTCCACAAATCCCTTCCCTTCAATGATTCTGTCCCCGCAATGTTCATAATCGCGAAACTCCGCTGGATTAACTTTAAATCCAATGCATACGATTTTTATTCATTCAAATCTTCCTCCGCTTTTGTTGAATAAAAAGTTGGAGCGTAATATTATTACAAAATCACAACAATTTGATGACAATTTGAATGGAAACTTGAATGCGACGTCGCATTTTGCTCAGCTTTTTATGATGCAACGTTGAACGGAAACAAGTCGAATGAAAATCTCATTCCGATCTATTAGCGGAGGCTGTATCTTCGGCAACTGGAAGGTGCCTGAGATACCCAAAATCCACTTGACGATATCACACAGAAACCGTAATCGTATAAAATCTTTTTGCGTTCAACTTTCCATCAAACCTCTCGTTCGCTTTCGTCGGATGCAATGGTCGATGGCTATAGTGCGAAACCACGTATCTCCGTTTGCGACGTTGCAAAATTCCTGTCATACTTTACTTTTTCTTTGGAAAGCTAGGCTAAAAAAACTTTATTTCTTGAAAAATGCCTTGATTTTTCTTCTCTATGAACAGAATATTCTGTATAAATGTCATATAAGGTTGGTTTGTTTCTCTTTGAAAAATTGAAATAGACGCGCGTGTTTTGAAACACCGCAATAAAGATATACGTGCGGTTTCGCACTTCAACCATCGGAATGCGCTCTAAGTTCGGATGAAATTCAAATTAAATGCGGAACTAACCGGTGGATCGGATAGGCGGCGCCGACATGGTTTTCGTGGCTAGAGTTTTCTTGAGCTGGACACTAGAGAGGTCGTGTATACTAATGGTGGAGAGGGGTTGGTGTTGTTTTCGGGCGGCTGCCTGCGTGTCCTGTGACGGCAGGGGCAGGGGAGGAGGGGGAGGACATCCACCAGGCCCGATCGTGATCGTTTCTTCCTCGAACTTCTCCAGGGTCACGGCTGGCACCTGCATTTATTATTTATTATAAGAAAAGTACACAAAAACAACCCGAATAATTCAACTTAAAACAACTTCAAGAAAATTGGCAACCAAGGCTAAAAACAAACAAACAGAATGCCTGGGGCGTTTTGAAGTAGTTTTAACCCCAGCCTCGACCAGGAAACACAAATATATAAAATCTTCCTTGAAATGCTCAAAGGTCACGGCTGGTATCTGCATATGTTGTTTATTATAAGAAAAATACACAAAAATAGCCCGAATAATTCAACTATAAGACCCCCAAGAAAATTGGCAACCAAGACTAGAAACAAAAACAAAGAATTCGTGGGACGTTTCGGGGTGGTTTAAACCCCTTCTCGACCAGGAAACAAAAAATATATAACATTATAGAAATAAAGAAACCTCTTTGATCCTCATTCGAGATGACAGAATGTGTGTTTTTTGTTATCACGAGTGGGGGTCTAAGGGGTTTCTTAGTTTTTCATAATTCTGTATGTTTGTTTGTTTTTAGCCTTGGTTGCCCATTTTCTAGCGTATTTCAATTATTAATTATATTAAGGCCAAGTTATTCAATTTAACTCTTTTTCTCAATCTTCACTATCAGGAACCACTCACTTCAACCGACAGGATCGCTCCATACTCCTTATTTCTTTCTTGTCTATCGCTTTCGTATATCAATGGAGATGTTGCATGTGTGAGGCATTTGTGATTTGACTGTTGGTTCTTATGTAAAAGTTCGCGAGAAACACGATGGTGCCACTGGTTTTTTCTGAAATCAACTACCGAGCTCAAAAAAAGCTTTCAAATTGAGGCCAAAATGGAGGGAATATCCCACGCTACCCTGAGAGTCCACCTCTACATCAAGACGAACTCTCCATGCAAAGATAGGGAGCAAATACATTGACAGGGCTGCCGTGTTTTCAGTTTTGGAGTCCTCAAATAAAGTGGCAACCCTGTCAATGTATTTGCTCCCTATCTTTGCATGGAGAGTTCGTCTTGATGTAAAAGGTGGACTCTCAGGGTAGAGTGGGATATCCCCTCCATTTTGGCCTCAACTTGAGAGCTTTTTTTGAGCTTGGTAGTTGATTTCAGAGAAAACCAGTGGCACCGTCGTGTTTCTCGCGAACTTTTACATAAGAATCAACAGTCAAATCGCAAATTCCCCACACATGCAACATCTCCATTGCGGGCGGCCAGCACAAAACGCGCATTGGCGCCTACAAACCTAACAGGATACTTCAAGCATTGCACAATGCGTGAGGTATTCCCTCAGGTTTGTAGGCGCCAGTGCGCCACTCCGCTCTGTGTTTGACTCTAATATTTAGACTCGCGGTTCAGTGGTTTTCAACTCATGATTTTGAAATGTTTGCACATCCTGTATGGATTATTCTCATTTAAAAAATTGCTGGGAAAAAAAAAAAATATGTCATAAAGGAAAATGTATACTGAGCGTTTTGTAATTATTAAGGTGGTTCCGTGTCAAATTTAATGATTTCCAAAGCACTTTAATTTTTCTTTTATATTTTGTGCTTTCACTATGCTGAAGCGTCGTATATACGCGCAACCAAACGCTCAAAATTAGACGTATTTGTCTCTAATAGATGGATGTCAGTGGCACCATCGTGCTTCTCGCGAACTTTTAAGCCCTGCATAGACGATCAAATTCCGAACCAATTCCGATCAAAGTAGACATGCTGATGACTGGTGGTCACCATCTACCATCAAATTTTGACGGGCCGCACACTTTTTTGTTCAAAGTAAGATCAGAACGGAGTGCCACCATTCATCATTTCCTGTCACAGGAAACATTTCTGCCAAGTTTTCATTTTAAAATGAAGCAAATTAATGAGTCTAAGACTGATGACTCCCGACACTTTGATGCTACTTTGATCGGAATTGGTTCGGGAATTTGATCGTCTATCGGGGCCTTTACGCAAGAACCAACGGTCAAATCGCAAATTCTTCACATATCGACAGTGAAACTACCAAACCACGTATCTCGGTTTGCGACGTCGCAGACTTCCTGTCATGCATACTTTATTTTTTAAATGAAAAACTACTTAACATCCAGTCTTGAAAATTTCTGTGATTTTTCCTCTTGGTGCGGAGAAAATTCCGTGAAAATTTCATGGTCTACTTCAAAAAAATAAAATGTGAGCGTAGATTTTTAAACACCGCAAACGAGATACGTGGTTTGGTAGTTTCACCGTCGAATATGCAACAAATCCATTGCAACAATGAGCCCGGTAAGGAGGGAGAAGAAAAGGGAGAGGGGTTACCTTGATCTCCTCGATGATGGCGATGTTGAGGTCGGAGGTGGAGCGCTGGAGTTTGGAGCCGGAGATGCTGATGCTGCGGAGGTACTCGGAGGGCTTGATCAGGGAGTTGGAGTCGGCCGAGTTGGACGGGAACTTGGGCGGGATGAACGGGAGCACCATCTGCTTGTTGACTAAGTGGGGTCCGTGCCCCACCGGCGAGGCGTCCCCGTTCTCCGAAGCGGCCAAAGCAGTCGACGGCTCTGAAACAACACCACCAACACGGTTTTTTCAACCAAATAGACCAATCAGAGACAAAGATCCAGACCCTCCACTAGCCTTTTGATGACAAGTGGAAACTTTAACTTTCGGGGACTTAAAACTTCCTTATGAGCAGATGGACCGCGTTATGCCGCAATCACACGCTGAATTTAGCAGCTGAATGTGGAAGTCAACAGGCATCACCCAACGGCTGAAATTTAGTAAATTCGAGTTATTTTCATCCAGATGTCTATCAAATCTACTCGAATAGTTCAGACAAATTCAACATTTGTCCGATGGTTGGAATCGTTGCTGGACGCGCAAAATTCAGGCATCGGGCCGATGACTTCTACATTCAAGCCACATTCAGCTCCCACAGTCAGCGTGTGATTGCGGCATTAAGCAGAATGGGACTGAGCCACATCAGCTATTGCTAAATTTAATCGGGCAATTTACTTTTTTACAGAAAACGATTGCAGATTTTGCAAATTTCAGTGAATTTTCCGCATGGTGCGAAGCGAATACCTCGAAATTTTCAAAGGAATCCGAACTTTATGTTTTACACTATCGTTGGAAATACTTCAAATTTTATCATTCTATTCATGCAGCAGTTCTCCCACAATGTTGTTGCATATTGCACGGTTGTAAAATTTTATCGGCACTATACACAAATTATATAAACTTAAAACTCTTTTTTGGCAAACCGATTAATATCACTTACTTATTTTCTATTCACGATGGCCACACCGCTAATCTTACTCAGTTCATACAAGAAGAATGTAGGGAAAACATCTGATAAGAAATTAGCTGATCGAGAGGACGAGAGCCGCGATAATAACTGCGCCGGCGCGGCTATCACGCCGGATTTTCGAACTTTTCAACAATGAGGCAGTCACCTGAAGATGGGCGGCCTGACCACCCGAAATGGCCATCGTGAATAGAAAATAAGTAAGTGATATTAATCGGTTTGCCAAAAAAAAAGTTTTAAGTTTATATAATTTGAGTTCTCCCACAATTTTCTGGATCTTCAAGGGAGGAAGAGTCAAGCAAGCGTTACGTCATTATTCAGGGAGGTCTGTGGGGTTGCGTTAAGAAGCATTACCAAGGGAGGGGAAGTCAAAAATTTCGGGGGAAAACGTTAAATTATGAACGGACTCCGACCAAGATATTTAATGTTTCTCGACGCGTAAATTTAATGAAAAAAAAAATAAAAGTTTACGTGACTCGAATTGCACATTAAACGTTACCGTAACAGTCACCGCGGTATGACGATGTGGAAACCTTAAAATCAGTGTCTGGGCTCAGCTGGTGCTTGTTTTTAACACTTTGAACAATGAAGAGTGAGGGAGGAACACTGGTCAATTAAGGCTCCTGTCAAGACCGTTGTAGTGTTCGATTTGATAGAGATTGTTTTTTCTTTCAAGTAGGGAATCCGAAATTCGCTCGTTAATAACTAAGAGTTATGAATTGCTTTTAGTGACTTTATTGGCGCGGGAGTCATGATCTACGTGAAATTTTTGTAAACAGACATGTATCAGAATGCGTAGAGACGTAATTGGGTCTCGTTTATCAACCGTTCTCATGTGCCTGAGTGGCACCTCATTGGCAGCATTGAGCGTTCACGCCTTCCACCATCGCGCCTTCAATTTTGCAGATGCAACATGGACGTCCATCAAGTACGAATAGTTGTATCTCTGCGCCGTCATGATTGCGCGTCAAATCTCATGCTCTAGTTTTATGTTGTGTCGGTTCCGTTTGTCTTAATTTCGTAGTGGCGCTTCGAGGGCTACGTAAACAACACAGCCGAAGATACGTGAGACGTGCGTTGAAGTGTCTTTTATTTTTGAAATTTGAGAAAAGTTGAGGTTAAGTTTCCTAATTATGATGTGTCAAAATCAATAATCAGTTTGACGGGGGTGGGGGGGGGGGGGGNGGGGAGGGGGGGATATCTGAGATCTTTCAAGTGCCCTCAAGGGCTCACGTCTAACAGTTGGTATTTTCGCGAGAATTTAGCCGTGTCAGGGACTTTTATTTTTTGACGAATATCCTTAGAAATCCCAAGCTGGGTTAAATTGACCAGACTGTCTCTTCTGAGAGAGTTATTAATGGTGGACGAAGGGGATGGGAGGAGGAGGAGGGAGAAAGCGCCAGTTGCACCTAGCTAATTTCCAGTTACGGCTATTTCAATACATAATCACCCAATTTTTATGCTGCGATATCACTGATAATCTCATTCACCAACGGCACTTAACTACATTTTAACACATAACGCAGGTACATCCAAAGGCATCCAGCTAATTTCTATCTGGAGCCATTTTAATTGGACCGCGTTCAGTAGAGAGGAAATAAGTCACATCAGCTGTTGCCAAATTTAATTGGGCAATTTACCTTTTTACTTGAGAACGGCTGTAAGACTTTTTGTGTAAATTTCAGTGAATTTCCTGCATAGTACGAGGCAAATTCCTCAAAATTTTCAAGGAAATCCGCACAAAGTTCTCTCATTAAAAATGAAATGGCCCCGTCAAATTTGGCAATAGCTGATATGGCTTGGTTCCTTTTTTCTAAACGCGGTCCAATCAATAACCATCTAATTTTTACACCATCTAAAAAACCCACCCACCGACTACACTATATTTTAACACGCAACGTATTCAAAGGCACCCGGCTAGTTTCCATTTGAATCCATTTGAATTTATAACCATTTAATTTTCACACCATGAAATCTCTGAAAAAAATCTCACTCACCGACCACACTATATTTTAACACGAAACGTATTCAAAGGCACCCGGCTAGTTTCCATTTGAATCCATTTTAATTTACAACCATTTAATTTTCACACCATGAAATCTCGGAAAAAAATCCCACTCACCGACTGAACTACATTTTAACACGCAGCGTATCCGAGCGATTTCCGATGAAAAGCCTTCGTCGAGATTTGTCGGGTCTGCGATGCATTTTCACACGTTCACACGCGACGAGACAGCTCGAAAGACACAGATGTACATGGGGAAACCGAATAGCTCTTTGCGAAGAAGTTCGGGGTCGGAAACTGCCACGGGGCGTGCTCTGCGGGAAGATTAAAGCTAAACGGTTTCCTTGAAATCGAAAGTTGCTCCGGACAAGGACGCACCGACCGAGAGCTTACGAGCGGATCCGTTGCACATCCTTCGAGGACTTCGCGGGGGACTACCTCTAAGACGGAAAGTGCCCGGCTCCTTGGTGGCTGCTCAGTGGAGCCAAAACGGAGAAAGTAAAAATCCCCCCCCCCCCCCCA